GTTAAAAAATAAAATAAAAATTATTTTGAGTTTATAAAGGCTAAGATCTTGAAATTCACAAAATGAATGATCTATATTTGTTTTTGGAGGGGACTCATTTTGACCATATCTAGGGTTCAAATTGAATTTTTTTTTGGGGGGGGGGGGGGATTGATTATTGAGATGAAGAGAGTGTGTGCGCAAAATTTGGGGTCATACAAATACCACAAACATGGTTTTTTAGAAATTCACAACATGAATGGTCTAGATTCGTTTTTGGAGGGAACTCATTTTGACCATATATAGGGTTCAAGTTGGACTTTTTTTTGGGGGGGGGGATTGATTTTTGAGATGAAGAGAGTATGTGTAAAAAATTTTGGGTCATACAAATACCACAAACATGATTTTCTAGAAGTGTCGTTTCATTATACTATGATACAACCGTTGCATTGGATCATTGCTCTTAACTTGTTAGCTTGATGAGCCTAGTAGTAAACTTTAACAAGCAATTCTCTTTTTACCTTCTTACCCTTTTCATCCTTCTCTTTTTCTATCTAACATTCTGTCTATACCACTTTCACCCTTCTCTCTATTCTAGATGGAGTATAACAATTCAGAGATTTCTATACACAAATTTAAACTTATTAGGTAAAGAAATACAAGAAGGCACAATCGTTGATACATTTAAGTTTAAGACCAATTTGTTGGTTAAGAGATAATGAATTTGTGTTTTGGTTCCGCCAAAAAGAGATGAGTTGGAGATTCCTAACTCTTCCATTTCCAGCTCAATCAAAGACAACCCTAATCTTCTTGCATAAAAATAGGGTTACATACCTATCTCTCTTCATCCTTACCACATTCTCACTCTAGGGATTCTTACTCTATAAACCTTCAAACCATTCTCAACTGGTTTTCTCTCTCTACCAGGTTAGATATTACTGTGCAAAATAGGCTGAGATAGTAACAGTTCCCTCTATAATGAAAGAGAGCCATGATGGAGAAATGGTGGACCTATGAGTATAATATGCTGATGAAAGGGATTTTTGGCTCTTTCTTATTGCTAGATCACTACAGCAATATAAAGCCCTTGCCAGGAGAGAGAGGGACTATATTTCACATGGAGGAAAAGGAGGAGAGGAGACTTAAATCATATTTCTTAGAGAGAGACAGAGGAGGGGGCAAAAAAATTTGGACACAAAAGGGAATTTTTTGAAAGAAATGATTAAAAGGATTCTTATGCTGTGTAAGAACAACTACTTTCATGAAAGGCCTATTTTGGCATTGAAAATATTAATGAAATGGCATTTGTAGGAGAGAGATGATTGGAGGTGAATAAGGTACATTTTCAGTCAATGAATTTCAACTGTTTTAGTTGGAAGGACTTTTCCCAAAAATGATGTAACAACAAAGAAGATGGGAAGATTTCTCCTCAAATTTAGGACCAAATCACTGAGATGCCTCATGAAAATTATAGGTCATAATTCAGATTAGTTGACAACTTAGGTATGTTTTAGTTGGTGTTTAGGAAACCACATTGGCCTTTGGTACTTGGCCTTTGGCCGAGGTGAGTAAATGGACTTAGTGGACTTGGCCGAGTTACATATACCCTTGTAAGATATGTAAAAAAACAAAAAGAAAAATTTAAAAAAAAAACAAAAACCAGAAAAAAGAAAAAATTATAAAAAATTAAAAAGAGTTAATGGAAATCATTAGAAGACTAGAGAAGGTAAAAAAAATCTGTAAAAGATGCATTACTAAAAAAAATTGATTTGTACATTGAATATTTCATAATATTTAAAAAAAAAGGAAAAATGCGACAATTCCCAATCATCTTAAGAACTATCTAAATCATCTAAAAATATATATTTTTAACCAATATAATGGTGATAACTAATTTTCATAGTTAATATCTCTTAATACTTTTTCGGGGTTTTTGGTGCCTAAAGAGTTGGGAACCCAAACTTAGCCCCAACTCACCTCACTACTAAGGCAAGGCTGAGTTACTCGGTTAGGTCCAAATGAACTCGTCTGATTTACCAAATGAGTGAAATATTAAATAGTTGATATTTAGGTATCATTTGATAACTTTCCTTTAAATTTATAGTGCAAGTTGCTGCTATTCTAAAATTAAGAAACCTTTCCCCCAATGCCAGTTCTCATTATCAGGATATTAACACTGCCTTGTCCTTTTGGAAAAATATAATATATTGTTGCAAACTCATATTATAGAAGTAAGGTGCACCTAAAAAATCCAATAGAAAAGAAACTTCTGCAGTTGAAAAACCTTTTAATTATCTCGACCTCAATGTGTATAAATATAAAGAAAAATAATAATAATTCAAAGTCCTAAAAAGAGTACATGCTGCAACAAGTTATCCAAGCTAGTCTGTTTTTAAGATTTTTAAGTATTTATAAAATTACGCGATCTGCATTAATTTTTAGAACTTTAAATTTCATAATTAGGATTAAATATGAATTTCCAAGTCACTATAAATTTTTTTATACTGGAACTACATCTTCCAACAAAATTTAGCTATAAAGTGCGCACCTTATGCAAATCTCACCCTTCTTTTTACTTAAGGTACGTTTGGTTCGTGCAAAATATTTCTCGAAAAATACTTACATATGTAAATTGTGTTTCATATGTTTGGTTCGAAAAATACTTTCATATGTAAATTGTGTTTCATATGTTTGGTTCGCGCAAATGCATATGCAAACAAAATACCATAGTATAATATTTTAGTATGAAATGGCCCAATACATAGTAAAATGAAACCACACCTCTTGACATGGGAAATATTCCCCGCGCATTTGTTTTCACACGCGGACCTATATTCACCCTTCACCATTTGTTATTTACAATAT